TTACATCAAGAATGCAATCGCAGTTGTCATTGATAATCCTTTGGCCATCTTACATCAAGAATGCAATCTCAGTTGTTATTGATAATCCTTTGGCCATCTTACATCAAGAATGCAATCTCAGTTGTTATTGATACTTCTTTGGCCATCTTACATCAAGAATGCAATCTCAGTTGTCACTGATACTTCTTTGGCCATCTTACATCAAGAATGCAATCCCAGTTGTCATTGATACTTCTTTGGCCATCTTACATCAAGAATGCAATCTCAGTTGTCACTGATACTTCTTTGACCATCTTACATCAAGAATGCAATCTCAATTGTCACTGATACTTTCTTGGCCATCTTACATCAAGAATGCAATCTCAGTTGTCATTGATACTTCTTTGGCCATCTTACATCAAGAATGCTAATCTCAGTTGTCAATGATACTTCTTTGGCCATCTTACATCAAGAATGCAATCTCAGTTGTCATTGATTCTTCTTTGGCCATCTTACATCAAGAATGCAATCTCAGTTGTCATTGATAATCCTTTGGCCATCTTACATCAAGAATGCAATCCCAGTTGTCACTGATACTTCTTTGGTCATCTTACATCAAGAATGCAATCTCAGTTGTCACTGATACTTCTTTGGCCATCTTACATCAAGAATGCAATCTCAGTTCTCATTGATACTTCTTTGGCCATCTTACATCAAGAATGCAATCTCAGTTCTCATTGATACTTTACTGTAAAATAATGACTGCTGAATGTCTTTTTTTTTCTAATTAATAAGATCATATTATGTAACCAAAACATATTTCTGGAAGAAAATAAAATATCTAAAAATGTGACACATCAATGAATTTGTCGAGTCTTCTTCTAACCCAAGAAACCTTACCTGGCTGTCAATCTTGTCAAATTCCTTAAAGATCCTGCGAAACATGATATTTTTCCGGGTCTTCTCAGTGTCCCGAGGTAAATGTTGCTTAACCACTTTACCCACGCTTTTGTACAAGCCAATGATTATACGTTCTGCCACCTCTCTTACTGAGCCTGCCGGATGGGCTAAAGCTTTCACACTGAACAGCATCACATTTCCTACTGTCAAACCCCTGGAAGTCATAAAAAATATGCACAATAAATAACATAAGAAGTAATCTTATTTTAACAACATTTAAATATTCACATCCTTTTTAAAATCATAGAAGTTGAACGAGGAGATGTACAGTAAGTTCGCCACGGTCAAATCAAAGTTTTAATTTAATGATGTAGAAGAAATATCAGTTAACACTCACTGGTTTCTAATCTAGAACTTGTATGATCAGAAACTGGCAGGCCTGTACTGAATTATTATGTCAAATGCATGACGAAGGTCATTATTTACCACTTTTTTTAAGGCCTTACTTAACGTAACTCAATAATCAATACTTCAGTCAAAATTACGTTGAACCAACTTTAATTTTTCAAGCTCAACTCTCCAGAGTTTACAATAAAGAAAAAAAAAGCAGTCTGGAAAAAGGTTATAATAAATACTATTTATTTCAATAAATTGTGAATTTTTATGACAGATTGTACAACTGTAAATTAGAATAAAGACTGTGGTACTCACTGCCGATCACTAATAGAATACTTGCGTATTAGAGCTTCAACCAATTCACAGCGGCTCTGGGCTAAGCGAGCGTTGATGGTACCAGGAAAAGGTTGGAGCGTATGAGTAGGTACTGATTGTAAAGACTTAGAAACAGATAAAACGTACAGGTCAACAAAGATTAGGTATTGGTATTTTATTAAAATAATAGTAAGAATATATATATGTATATTTCTAATATAGTTTCATGTACTGATTTACATTTCAAATTTGTTGTATTTAATATTGGCTCACAAATTAAGTTTTGCTTTTAAATGAATATATACAATTATTTCATATTAGGTAATTGTTACGTACAGTAAGGAAAATATGACAACAAAATAATTTCAAAATTACATTTTTAAATATTTTAAACTACTTCTTACTCTGACATCTTTATAATCAGCCATTTTTTAAACATTTCTTACTTTCACATCCTTATAATCAAGCCATTTTTTAAACATTTCTTACTTTCACATCCTTATAATCAGCCATTTTTTAAACATTTCTTACTTTCACATCCTTATAATCAGCCATTTTTTAAACATTTCTTACTTTCACATCCTTATAATCAGCCATTTTTTAAACATTTCTTACTTTCACATCCTTATAATCAGCCATTTTTTAAACATTTCTTACTTTCACATCCTTATAATCAAACCATTTTTTAAACATTTCTTACTTTCACATCCTTATAATCAAGCCATTTTTTAAACATTTCTTACTTTCACATTATATATATATATTTATATATCATTATTAAGTATAGTTGCATTAGTATAAAAACACTTTTCATTCAGAATGTTTTCATATCTAAACCTAATTAATTAGTTTTGAAGTATTGCAGCTCTGTTTAGTTTTTTTAACCAAATAGTTATATTTTTATTTCATGATGTTTAATTTACAGGCATCAAACACTTCCCCTAATCTAATTTCTTCCCATTTTCTTCTAGTAAAGTATTATGTGTTTAAAAATTTACACCCATAAAATATTAATGAACATGTTTTTCATTAATGAAATCTTCAGTTGTTTCTTCATCTGTCAAATGATGTCTGCATTCAGAAACCTTGGTAATACACTTGTCACATCATAAAATATACTTAAACATATGGACAAATTACAAGCAAAATTCGTGAACTGATTCTTCTTTTCAGGCACCCAGAATTAGAAGCACTGCAGCCAAGTTTGTTCTTGAAATGGCTGATTATAAGGATGTGAAAGTAAGAAATGTTTAAAAAATGGTTTGATTATAAGGATGTGAAAGTAAGAAATGTTTAAAAAATGGCTGATTATAAGGGACACACACACACACAATTTTTATTCATAATAAACCATAAAATTGTCATGAAATTTCACCTCCTGTAGTAAAAATCCAAATTGATGTTATTCATTATGTTATAGTACAATATAAAGATTGGTGTTTACAATTATCCAAACAACAGAGAAACATGCTTTTTTTGAAGTTCATGATACAACTGTGGTAACCCACAGGATAGTGTAAGTGAATTATTCACTGATACTATTGTGATAAGAGCAGAGAAAAATAGTTTGTTTTGTCAATTGGATTCTAAAGTAATTGAATCAGCCTAAGTGGACTTTTGACAAGAAAAGGAATAATTTAGAGTTCGAGATACAACTGTGCTTCTAAATAGATGATGCACCAGATAACAATGAAGAGAAAGAAAGAAAGAAGACACATGCATCTAGAAAGAATGAAAAACTAACATTTGGGTATCATAAAACTCATGTGGAGAGCTATTTTGACTGCATACAGTTATGGTTTGATATTATGCAGCCTAACAAAATAAACATTTCTTTATAACAATTAATGATGACTACTGAGATCCATGGACATGGATATAAACCATCAACATTCATCTAAGAGGAATTAATTGCCTATATTTTCCACTGAACTAAAATCAAATAAACAGTTATCTTGCACAGAACTATGTAAGTTCACATGCACTAACCATGGACATATTCAAGTAGGTTATGGATTGGTTAAATAACATTTTGCTGGACTTGTACACAGTAGAGGCCTCCTTATACGCTTGTGAGAAAAGGTATTAAAGACATTTATAAATACTGTTAACTTGAACCTTTCTTTTGGTATGTTTTCACCACTGCTTCTCTCATGTAGTTTCTTAAATATAAAAAACAAACAAAATGTGTGACATTATATGATTACAACAAAGATATTGATCATTTCATCAAATTTTAAATGTTTTACAATTGATGTATAAATAAATATAAATCTTTAAAAAAAAAGAAACGTTTGTGATAAACTTACCGTATCACCAGTTCTGGTGATGACTAAAGGCAAAGTCCTGTTTATTGCTGCTGAAATCTCATTTTTTGGAACTCTGAATGAAAAGGAAAAGACAATATTTTAAAATATTCCATTGAAAAATATTGTTGTATTGTTGTTTTTTTAGCTGGTTGGTTCTTTCAAATTATTTGGTGAAACTAATTCAAAATCCAGTCCACGTAAACTGTATTAAATTAGTTTATTTTCTCCTTTAACGATTATGCAAGTTTGAATACTTGTACGCTGTTGTTAGTTGTTGTAGACCTACATTAAAGATGATTAACTAATATAAAACAATTCAAATTTCTTTTACAAAATAACTCATTAAACAAATTACAAATATGCCTTACAATAATATGCAAGAGAAATGTGGCATTACATAAATGAACATAAAGTAGGCCTAGCAAAAGTTAAGCCTACTTTGGATTCATAATGTTAGGAAACATACAGACTCAAAAGTCAGTTTAACTCAAAAATATGACACTCTATAACCTTATTTCTTTCAAAAGGTGGACCTTTAAAAAGTACTTGGGTCATAGGGTATCGTATTTTGGGGTTGATAATAGTAAATAACTACTTTAGTTAAACATATTCTTCAAAGTACTAGCAATTCAATAGCTTGATAATAAATACTGGTCCTAGGTATGTTGCCATCAAAGGTACAATTAAAAAATGTCATCCCTAGTAGCTATGCTACCCCTCACCTAGCAGCCATGCACGATTTAAAAATTTATCCCTGGTAACTATGCTACCCCTCATCTAGTAGCCATGCACGATTTAAAAATGTCATCCCTGGTAGCTACGCTACCTCTCATCTAGTAAAGGAACAGACAAGTGTACAGCCAGAAGGCCACTGGTAACACCAGTAAAGAAACAGAACAGTGTACAGCCAGAAGGCCACTGGTAACACCAGTAAAGAAACAGAACAGTGTACAGCCAGAAGGCCACTGGTAACACCAGTAAAGAAACAGAACAGTGTACAGCCAGAAGGCCACTGGTAACACCAGTAAAGAAACAGAACAGTGTACAGCCAGAAGGCCGCTGGTAACACCAGTAAAGGAGCTTTCTTCTACTACTAACTAGGCAACCAGCATCCACACGAAAAGGTCATCATCTGTTGGCACAACCCCCTGGGATTGTAATCTCAAATCTTATAATGCAGAACTGATTTTGTGGCAACAGAACTCAAACCATGGCCCCTCAGATTCACAGACCATCATGCCGACCACCCAGCCCTATAATGTAGAAGTATACAACAAATCACGAGCTTGGCATCCACTTCCCCTAACAAATTATATAGAGCTCTACTGATCTTTATCATTGATCTTAGACAACTAATGATAGCTGGCATAGTTTAAAACTCCAGGTTTTAGTTGATCATACTTTTTAGAACCTAATAATTCCATAATATAATGGCATATCATATGGTAATTCTACTGTTTCAAAATTTACGTATACAACAAATTGAATGAAATTGTACTTTGACAAGTCATCTAACTACCATATTTCTGTATTATACCTTATATGGTGAATGAATATTAGGGCAACCAATCAGAGTGGATTATTGAGATCATATTTATCATGTATTCATCACTGCCAATTTTAATTATATTTAGAACCTTTAACCTACGTATTGACCCAATGAGGTTCCATCAGTTTTTTAAACAATTTTTCTAAACAACTTATGCACCAAACTGCTTTTGTTTCACAACTTTGTTGTTCACAGATATCCTAAAAACACCATCAATATTGTAACTAATCTTACTGATTACTGCCACGGTTCCTTAAACAGAAAGTTAATGTTCACCCAATGTTTTTGTTCTTTTTTTTTTGCCAGTTCTTCACACTGCATGTTGTATCAAGCGTAAAGCATAAAATAACTCAATTTGGTGCAATGTGTGTGGCACACCAGCAGTCAGTAGTTTAAAGGTCAAACTACACAGCAGGTCAAATCCATGGATTCCCTCATGCAAGCTTAAAATCCAAATTCTTGTAAGAAATCAACATTATGTCTCCTTGCTATAAGAAAATCCATTTAGTTAAAAGAGAAGAAATATGAGTATTGAATTACACACTACTTAGCCACATACATATAAAATGTAAGAATAATTCGGTGATACTTTCTGAAACTCAAATAATGCTTGGAGATGGCTTGAATGGGTAATGAAGAAAAACATTAATATAAGTTTAACATAACAGCAAACGTACAACGTTTCAACAAGGTTTTGTCATCATAAGGTACCTATATTAAAGTTTTTCTTCATTACCCATTCAAGCCGTCTCCAACCATTATTAGTCTCAAAGTGGGTTCCTCGTCATCGGATTTCTGAAACTCTCACAGGAAAATTACGCTTCTGATAATCCTACTTTGTTGCGAACAAATAAGTCCTAGTTATCAACATTTTCAAAGACTCGTAAGATTGACCTTTACTTACCTATTGGAAGGAAGAAATTGGGTGAAAACAATTTTCAAAAGTTCCAGAGCAAGAATAAAAACCTAAAAAAAAACAGAACAAGAGTATTAAAACCAAAAATGATACTAAAAACAACCATCTGTTACAAAATATTAAGATTATATGTAAAGAAAGCTATATAAATGTAGATCTATAGAAACATAATGAGTTATAACTACCTAAGATACACACACATCAGTGACTCAAAAACATATGGACAAACAAAAACACATTGAAGAAAACATCTCTACAAAAGGGGAGTGAAATTTCTTCCCACTTCCAAAACACAGAAGAACCTACCAGACAACAAGAACAAAAATAGTGAAAAACACACTATAAAATATGCAGATGAAACTGAGGTACAAAATATATTGTGAGAAATGTGTCTTGGTAAGAGAGGTACCTATCATAGAACCATCTTTTAGATTCAACCTCTATTTTCAAGCATCACAATTAGAAGAAAGAAAAAAAAGGGAGTTCTCAGGCACACAATGTCCCATTTCGGGGGGGAGGTAGTTGCTCCTAATGAAACAAAATTATGAAAATAAAATAAAAACAGATTACAACAATTGACCCACTTATCTCCTTGTGTGTTCCAACCCCCTATAACAGTCACATACCCTCCCCCCCCAAAAAAAAAGTAGTAATAAACTAAACTAATCAACCACCCTAAACATATCCTGCTAAATTCATGGGTCAAAGCTATTGTTCTTTGAGGCATTATGGGATATGTTTTAAAAATGTTCCTTTGCAATTTTAAGCATTTTTGAGGGTTATATATATATATATATATATAGATAAGCATAAAGTACTGGGGAATGGTTGGTCATTGAACAAGTTCTTAATCATTTCAGTAGATTTGTACCTTCTGCTTTAAAACAGCACACAATTGAGTGAATTATATAAAATACCCACACATTCTAGCTGACACATCATGTACTAGATAACCCTGACATACAGGTCATGCAAAAGTAGGCACTGTGTAAATGAAGTAAATCTATTAAAGGAAAAAGTTTTAATGATGGTTTTATACAAAGTACTTTTTTATATTATTAATAGTGAAATTGAGAAACATTTTACTATTATACAGTAAAGAAACTTTGGTAACTCTTACAGCTGAAAATCTTGCTGTTTTAGTTTTATAACTAAAAGAATTATATAAGTAACAAAATATTTAAGTTCATTACAAGTTCTGCAAAAACACAATAACCGAGACATTTTTTGCACAAATCTGAAACAAAATTCTCATCATTTGTCAAAAGTATTTATTTCAATTGTAGCATTTCTTATTTTTATGACTAAATCTACGTAACGAGTACATGTATCAGATAAAGTAGCGGGGGTATTCTAGAAGATTCGCTAGTGTGTTACGACAGCGGGGGTCACGTGACGAGTATTCTAGAAGATTCGCGTTAAACTCTAGTGTGTTACGACAGCGGAAGTCAAGTGACGTTGGTAGCACGTGTTGAGAGCCTAGAAAATTCTAGAACAGGTGGTATTATCGTATATAAGTGCGCTAGACAGTGAGAGAGACAGACGAAGCAAAGGCAGTTAGAAAGAGAGAGTGGAGAACCAAGGTCAGCGGTTACGGTCGGCGGGAACCGAGGATAGCAGATACAGAGATCGGAAGTATAGTTGCTGACAGGCGGAGATAGAGACGGACAATTGAGTCAAGCACGGTAGAAAGTGAGTGAATTGTTGTGAACTATAGTGTGTGTAACTGTGAGAATTAAGTGTATTGCAAAGTTGTACTGAGGAAGAATAAACAAGTTTTGTTTAAGAAAGGACTTGTATCGTAGAAAAATTAACAAACAAACATACAGAGACGTAACAGTAGCATTTTCTATTTCCAGTTTATCAGGTATAGTTATTAATACTTTAATTATTCGTAGTAATTAAAATCATCAATTTTTTTTTTGGTCGGTTAAAATTAATTAGGTCAGCATTTAAGACATTCTCTATTAACACCCTTTCATAAAAATAAAGGTATAAGTTCATAAGTTCACAACATTACGAGAACAGTCGGCATCCACAGGTGTTATTTTTTTGTTATTTGTTTTGTTATTAATTGTTATTTTTTCTGATGGGGGGGCCAAGTTTAGGATTACGAGCTGGCCTAATAATTATGGAACACTCTGAGACGAGGCAGGTTTTTAAATG